CCCCACCCGCTGCGCCTGGCTGCTGCTCCCCGCCACGCTGCTGCACTCACAGGTGTACACTCCCTCCTGAGCCGGCAGGGCCTGCCCCAGATACAGCAGCCTCCCCACGGCGGACACCTGCTCGAGGCTGGCATTCTGCCCAGGCAGGAGCTGACCTGGACACAGTGAGAACAAAGCCCCTGGTCCAGGGCTCTGCAAGGACACAAGGTCCTCCTACCTGGAATGTCTGTCCTCCCGCCCACTCCCTCCCATCCATCCTTGCCAGCTCTTGTTCGTCCATCTAGCGTCCACCCAGAAATCACCTCCTCCAGGAAGCCTTCCCTGAGCACTACATCTGGTCCTGACACCAGCACTGAGCTCCTCCCCGTCACAGATCTGCCTGCAGGTGCCTTGTCTGAATCCTACTCTGGCCTCGGCCCTCCAGGATGGTGGCCCCCACCTCACTTCCCCTGATATCCATAGAGACTCCAGCGCCTGGCCCAGGGCAGGGCTCAGCTGTGGTCACTGAGTGAGTGACCCGCCCACCTGGCTACCCGCCCTGAGGTGGGAGCCCGGGTGATGGGACCTGGCAGTGAGAAGCCCCCACAGCAGGGGAGGGCCTACAGCCCCGGGAGCCCTGCTCCTGTTATGGAGGAGCAGACCGCAGCTCTGCACTGCCTGGCCCAGCAGGGAGGAGGCCCCACAGCCACCTTTCCTCATGCACCCTCCTCTGCCCACTGCCGTATTCCCAGTGTGGAGCACGGGGCCTGGAACTCAATGACGGGGACCAAGGCGGGTGATGGGGCAAGTTATGAAGGAGGCCCTGCTCCAGGCTGGGGTCAGGGAGGGCTTCTTGGAAAAAAGGACATTTGAAGTGAGTCCCGTAGATTGATCCAGTTCTGACCGGTAAGGATGGGGCCTTTGGGCTTGGGGACCCAGCAGAAAAAGGCTAAGGGACATGTTAATTTTATAAGTAATTGGCACCCCTACCCTCTAGGGCATAAGCCCATCCATCTCAGTTAGGCTCTGGGGTGGGGACACCTAGTGGAGGTGTGGGGCCGCCCCCCTGCACTGGGCAGTGAGCAGTGAGCCAGCAATCCTACCGTCCTTCCTCCAGGAGATCTTGGGGAAGGGTACGCCGTGGCACTCGCAGGACAGCCTGGCGGGGTGCCCCTCGTGCACAGTCAGGGTGCGGGGCTCCCTCGAGGGGAACACTGGAGCAACTGAGTCAGAGACGAGAGTGGCTATGGTTGGCATGGGGAGATGGGAGGCGCAGACCAGTGGAGGAGAGCTCTTCCCTGGACCCCAAGAAGGCACCCTCCCCAATCTTGGACCCGAGAGCCACCCCTGGCAGGCAGGGAGGGAGCACCCAGCCCAGGAGGCCTCACCCCAGACGTTCAGGTTGAAGTGCTTCTCTGAGCGGCCTGCCTGGTTCAGGGCCTCACAGGTATAGCGGCCTGCATCCCACACCTGCGCTCTGTCCACCTGGCCGTGGGCACAGAGATGGGGTTACCCTGTGCCAGCTGTATGGCACAGGGCACCTCGCCATACCTCCCTGAGCCTCAGTCTCCCCACCCAGAATGCGGGGCAGTGACAGCACCACCCCCACCGACTGTACCATAAGGTTTCCAGAAAGCCAGTGCCCATCGGCCTGACCCAAGCCTGTGGGCCAGCACACAGAACAAACTCACTAGACGGCAGGCCCTTGACCCCCAACTTCACAGCCATGGCCCAGACCTGCTGCAGAGTGGTGCATACTGGGTCAGACCTGCACCTGCCCCTGATTTGACCCCAGTCTCTGGAGAGTCCAGCAGGACAGGCCAGAGGACAAGGTGGGAGAAAAGGATGGGGCTGGGTGGTAGCGGACCTGTCCTTGGGTCAGATCCTGAGCTGAGTTGGGAATGATCTTATCACAAGGTGTAGAGGGGTAAGGGATGGTGAGGAAGGTTCTCCCAACAGCTGGAGCCAGACCTGAGGGCTCAAGTCCAAGAGCTTTGTCCTGGGAGGCGGGGTTTGCAGGGCATACTAAGCTGAACTGATGCTCAGTGAGCACGGGGTATCCTGCCCTGCCCTGCCCTGCCAGGGGCTTGCATTCACTCTAGATGGAGGTATATGGTGGAGGCCTTAGGGGGAGCTCTAAGGTGGATGTCTATGGTAGAGACTTACAGGGGAGGTCTTAGGTGGAGGTTTATGGGGGAGACTTACAGGGGAGGTCTTAGGTGGAGGTTTATGGGGGAGACCTATGGGGGAGGTTTTAGGTGGAGGTTTATGGGGGAGACCTATGGTAGAGGTCTTAGGTAGAGGTTTACAGTGAAGATCTATGGGGGAGACCTATGGGGAGGTCTTAGGTGGAGGTTTATGGTGGATGTCTATAGTGGAGACCTATGAGGAGGTCTTAGGTGGAGGTTTATGGTAAAGATCTATGGTAGAGATCTTAGGTGAAGGTCTTAAGTAAAGGTCTTAGGTAGAGGTCTGTGATGGAAGTCTTAGGTAGAAGTTGTAGGTGGAGGTAGTAGGTGGAGGTCTGTGGTGGAGCTTGTACATGGAGGTTTTAGATAGAGGTCTTAGGTGGAGGTCTTAGGTGGAGGTCTTAGGTAGACGTCTTAGGTGGAGGTCTCAGGTGGAGGTTTTAGGTGGAGGTCTTAGGTGGTTGTCTAGGTGGAGGTCTTAGGTGGAGGTCTGTAGGAGAAGGTCTTAGGTGGAGGCCTTAGGTAGAGGTCTTAGGTGGAGGTCTTAGGTGGAGGTCTTAGGTGGTTGTCTAGGTGGAGGTCTTAGGTAGAGGTCTTAGGTAGAGGTTTTAGGTGGAGGTCTTAGGTGGAGGTCTCAGGTGGAGGTCTTAGGTGGAGGTCTTAGGTGGTTGTCTAGGTGGAGGTCTTAGGTAGAGGTCTTAGGTAGAGGTTTTAGGTGGAGGTCTTAGGTGGAGGTCTGTAGGAGAAAGTCATAGATGGAGGTCTTAGGTGGAGGTCTCAGGAGGAGCTCTTAGGTGGAGGTCTTAGGTGGAGGTCTTAGGTGGTTGTCTAGATGGAGGTCTCAGGTGGAGGTCTTAGGTAGTTGTCTAGGTGGAGGTCTTAGGTGGTTGTCTAGGTGGAGGTCTTAGGTGGAGGCCTGTAGGAGAAAGACTTAGGTGGAGGTCTGTAGGAGAAGGTCTTAGGTGGAGGTCTCAGGTGGAGATCTTAGATGGAGGTCTCAGTTGGAGATCTTAGGTGGAGGTCTTAGGTGGAGGTCTTACATGGAAGTCTTAGGTGGAGGTCTATGGTGGAGAACATAGGTGAAGGTCTATGGTGGCAACTCACTTTTAATAAAGCTCTGTCTGCAGAGAGGTAGATGCCGGGCCGCAGCTCCAGGGGACGCCCGTCCTTCTGCCAGCTCAGCACAGGAGGGGGCAGGGCCTGGCTCTGGCACTCCAGGGTCACTGACTCATTGGCCACAACAGACACATTCAGCTCTTCTCCCAGGATGCTCGGGGGCACTGTGGGGTGCGGGGCAGGAAGGCCTCCCTCAGGCATGTGGGGTGGGGCCCTGGGCCTGCTGGCCACTTTCCTCAGCGGGGCCTAAGACCCGACCCCACCTCCACCCTTCCCACCCCTCACAGCCTTCGGGGGAAGGTGAGCCGTGGGCTGCGACAAACCCTTCTCCTGGATGGGGCACTGCCCCATGTCTGCAAGAACCGCCACCGAGGGAACCAGGGAGAGAGCTCAGGCGGGCTCTGGGTTATTTCTCACAAGTACATCCGGATCTACAGCTCTCTCAAAGTTTCAAAGTTTTAATATTTTTATTTAAAAAGGGTTTAGTAAAGCAGGCCCCAGAGCCACTTCTCCCTGTGACAGAAATAACCAGTGCAGCCGAGCGGTTTCAAACGCAGCACAGGTCCCGGGTGAAGGCCTGCATCCTGCTGCTCGCTTGTGCGCAAGGGCTTGGAGCGGTTATAAAGCCTTTCTGGCCTCAGTTTCCTCTTCCACAAAATGGGGATCATGACAGCCCCCCACCCCACCAAGGCCCCTGTGAGGGTAGCACATGACGCAGGCGGTGCTTGGGCAGGTGAGTCTCACCTACAGTTGCGACTCCTGCCGAGGCTAGAGCAGGAAGGAAGCCTCCCCACCCCTGGCCCCGCAGTCCCCGGATTTCTTCCTCAGACCACACAGACCCACACGGGCGAGGACAGCCACTGTTCCGTGCTTTGTGGCCTTGAGGCCACTCTCTTGTCCCATTTTACAGATGAAGAAATGGAGGCTCGAGGCAGGATTTTTTTTTTCGGAGAGGTTTTTTGCTATAGGGCGTGTGCGCTCGCCAGAAAGACAGAGAGAGACAGAGAGAGAGAAAGCGAGAAATCCCTCCCCGGGGGAGATGGCCAAGCCGCAATCCCTTCTCCTCTATTCTCCTCTCGGGATCTTGGGCACGGACACACACGCGCCCGGTGTGAGTTTAAGCCACCGGGTCCGGGACTTGAACCGTGGTTGACTACATGGGAGTCCAGCAACATAGCCATTACACTAACTGCTGGTCCCCAGAGGCAGAATTTGAATCTGGGTCTATAGACCAAAGAGCTGGTGTTCCTAACCACCATCTCACACACCTTCCCAGGGTAGAGGGCTACCCACATGGCCAGAACAGTGAGCCTGCTGGGCCCCCGGGCGCTTGGCCTGGTGCTCCTGCCTGCCCCTACTTTATGCCCCTCCACTTCTCTGAACACAGAGGTCTGGGCCATGCAGGCCCCCCTGCCCGCCTGTGGGGAGCTGACACCGCAGGACAGGCCTCAGGGTGTCTAACTTGCCCCTGCTGAAAGGCAGCACCTGTCTTGGGTGGTGCCTCCTCCACCAACCTCCCTCTGACCCGCGGATGTGGCTGAGACACCCTACCCTGTCTCTGGGTTGCTGGCCTGGATGGCGGCCTTCCTGCCTGAGACTCACTGTGAACTTGCAGCACGACCTCCCGGCGGTCCTCGCCCACGGCGCTCACGGCCACGCAGGAGTAGCTGCCGGAGTCGGAGGTCCGGACGCTGGCCAAGGTGAGCACCCTGCCCCCGGGGAAGACCTGTGCCCCCAGGGAAGCTGGTCAAGGGGATGCTCTGCTGTCACATGCCACAGGGGCACATCCACCTTGCCCAGGCACCCTGCTGCCGGCATGCCTGGTCAGCCCGCCCCAGGAGCCCTGAGCCGCACCCGGGCCACCTCAGACTTCTGCCATCCTCCAGAGTCCTCTGGAGCCCCTCTGTCCACTACAGTGGCCACCCACTGTGTGTGCCTAGTGAGCCTGGAATGTGCCAGTTCGAACCAAGAGAGCTCATAGCGTGACATCCACATCGGATTTCAGGGTTAGTAAGAAAAGAACGTAAGATGTCTTGTTAATGGCTTTGTGTAATGATTGCGTGGTAAACTATTTCGGATGTATTGGATTAACTATTAATGATATGCATTCTTAAGCTCCATGTCACCTGTTTCTTTACTCGTTTTAATGTAAACATCCAAGAGAATTTAAATCGCAGCAGAGATGTGCTCTGATTTTGCGGGTGGCGCAGCGATTCCTGCTTCCTCCCTCTTGCCCTGGCGGGGCAGCCTGCTTCTCCCTCACCCCTGAGCTCCCTGAGCCTGACCTCGGTGCCCAGCACCTGTGGGAGGCACCAGGGAAGTGTGCAGGAGCCCCCGGCCCCCCTAACCTGGAGGCCGGGTGTCCCTGCAGTGGTCACGGGGTTTCCATCCTTCAGCCACATCAGCGTAGGGCTAGGGGCACCGGTGGCATTACAAGTCAGCCGGACAGGGGCGCCGAGCAGCACAGGGCCTGGCAGGCTGGGTGGCAGCGTGATTCGTGGAGGCACTGTGGGGCAGGGATGGCACAGGAGCACAGGCTGAGCCCCACTGTGGGTGAAGCAAGTGGGGTTCTGGCTGGGCACCCCATGAGGGTGCGGCCATGATTAAAGGCACAGGGATGGCCACTCCACCGTTCTTGGGCTGCTAGAATCATCTTTCAACACCATCATGAGGCTTCTCTGGATGGGAAATGGACTCAGAGAGGAGATGTCACCTGCCCAAGGTTGGCCAGAAGGAAGCACAGAAGCAGGACTTGAACTTGGGCCTCTGGTCAGCAGGGGGCAGGTTGTCATGGGAATGGTGTGGAGCGAATAGCTGGGGCCCGTGGACAGGTTTATTTCCCGGATCAGAGCATCAGACGAAACACCCTCACAGGTACCCACCTCAGGCAGAAAATGGTCGGAGGACTCAGCTGTATCTGGGATGCATGCGCCATGACTCCCAGGGTCCCAGCCCCTACCCAGCTGCCCCCATGGCCTTTCCCATGGCCCAAGGCCTCCCAGGTCTCCATGGGGCCTCCAGCTCCCTGGGACCCTCCTCTCATTATTTTCTAAGCTCCAGGCCTTCCAGCCTCCTCTCAGGTCTCTGCAGCCTTGGTCCTCAGTGGAGGACTCATTTAGGATCCAGCCCTCAAAGATGCCTCGTGGAGTGCCCAGGCCGGTCAGTGCCCCAGTCCCCAGCAGTCATCGGTACGCCATGTTTCCTAGCTCTTCTCACAGCTGTCCTGAAGCAGTACTTTGGGGAACAAGCTCATCGTTGTATCCCACACACACTCCACACTTCAGGTTGTCTTACTTAGCGCTGCGGTACCAGGCTCTTCCCAAAGCTTGCCAATAACTAGAGTTGGCAAGAGTATGAATAATGGAAGTTGAATGGCTAACTGGATGGGCGGATGGGCAGAGGATAGTTAGGTGGGTGGACAGAGGACTGGGTGGATGGACAGTCAGATTAAGACATACTATTGGATGTTTGCATGCAAAGATGAAATAATGGGTGGGTGGGTGGATGATGGATGGATGGATGGATGGGTAAATGGGTGGGCGCATGGATGGATGGGTGAGTGGGTTGGATGGATAGATGGATAAAGGTAGGTGGTTGGGGGACCAGCAGGTGGTGTGGTGGTTAAGCCGCTGGACACTCCCACATGGCCGACCAGAGTTCAAGTCCTGAATCTGGTGGCTTACTTTCTCACTTTCTCTCTTTCTCACTGTTAACCCTCTGTCTCTCTCTGGTCAAACTAAAAAATAAATGAATGAATAAAATAAAAAATTATTAAAAACAAACAAACAAACAACAAAAAAAAAAACCCAAAGATTCCGGTTGAACATGCAGGTGGGTAAATGGCTGACTAGACAGATGATTGGATGAATGGTTGAGCAGACAGGTAGGTGGGAGTGGGTAAATGGACAACTGCATGGACAGGTGGGTAGATGGGTGGGTGTATGGCTAGGTGGATGGATGGATGGGTGGGTGGATGAATGGGTGAGTGAATGGATAGGTGGATGGATAGGTGGGTGAATGGATGGGTGGATGGATGGGTGGGTGGATAGATAGATGGACTGGTAAAGGATGGGTCGATGAATGGGTGAATGGATGGTGGATGGATGGATAAAGGCTGAGTGGATGGATGGGTGGATGGATGGATAAAGGGAGGGTGGTTGGATGGGTAGATGGAAAGGTGGGTGGTCGGGTGGATGGATGGATTTGTGGGTGGATAAAAGATGGGGGATGTATAAAGAATAAATAACAGATGAGTGGACTGATGGATCACTGGAAGCCCCTCACCATTGACCCGCAGACCATACTGCAGCTCGGTGTTGCCGGCCACATTAGATGCCACACAGCGGTAGCTCCCAGCATCAGAAAGCCGGGCTCGCTCAATGAGGAGTGCTCTCCCATCAGCTGACACCGTCACTCCCATCCGGGCAGAGACAGGCTGGTGGCCCTTGAACCAGGAGACATCTGAGGAGGAGAAGAGACATGCAAGGGGCCCCTCCAGCCCCTCTGACGTGGCTGGGGGGGGGGGGGTCTGAGAGAAGCAACCACGTGGCTGCATTGACTGCCACTTTGCAGGCACAAGGGAACCCGGAGTTCTTCAGGAAGGGAGCAGGGCCAAATGCAACAATCTGGCCTAAGGTGGGACCCAGGGCAGAGAGGAGGCCCCACTGTGGAGGCCAGGGCAGCCAGCAGCAGGAACAGCCATGCCCAGCCCAGCCCTCGCTGCCTTCCCCACCAGGAGAGCTTCAGGGAGAACACAGGCCACCCCAGAGCACAGCCTCATAGGTCAGGATGGGCTGCCTGTCCAGCCCCCTCACGTCCTCCTGCCAGAGCCCACGGGGCGGCCCCATGGGAGGGACAAATATTTCGGCATGCACCCACCCCTGGTGAGGCAAGGAAGCCCCTGTGCCGATGGTGAACAGGAGATACGCCTCCTCTGGAGTCCCATCCCATCCTGTCGGTGAACACCCACATGTCACCCCAAACACCCGGCCCTTTCCTCAGCTGCTGGAAGCCCAGGGGGTCACTGATGCCAGGCCCGAGCAGCCCAGGCTGTAGACCCCGAGAAGAAGCCCTGCAGCTTCGCTCCACGCCCCAATGCAAAGGCTCTGGGCCCCGGGGACTAGACGAGAGGGGTCCTGACAAACAGCTGCTGCGGAGGAAGAGGCAAAACACTTCACTCTGTCCATAGCCAGCACAGTTCCTGGGGCACCGGGGCCCACTGGAGGTGGCCTTCAGCGAGACCAGTGGTCTTACCAGGACGGGGCACGCCCGAAGCTAGGCACTCCAAGGTCACTGAGGCATTTTCCAGCACTGCCCTATTGCCAGGGCCTGGCTCGATGTTGGGGGGAACTGGGTCAGGGAGAAAGGAGAGATCCGGATGGGTGGGTGCAGACAGCTCCAGTCCAGCTGCCACAGGGCCCCTCTCGTCTTCCGTAGAGCCCAGGGCTACAAGACCTCTAGAACCACCTACGTCCTAAGGTCAGGGAGCCGCATCCTAGACCAGGCCCGAGACCGAGTGAGTGGCGGGCTGCAATCCTCACTGTGGCCACCAGGCAAGGACAGCCCCAGGGCCAGGACAGCAGGGACTGGGACCCCACGGAGCCCAGAGGGATGGGGCAGGCACCTTCTGCCCAGCAAGAAGGCAGACGAGCTCGCTGATGAGTGAAACTAGCCAAGGTCCACGAGAACAGGGACAAGGCCCACCGCGGAAGTCCCACCAAACCCAAAAGGGGCCGCCGACTTTTCATTTTAGGACCTTCTGCTTCTGAAGTTAAATGTACGACTATGATTTTTAAACTCCCTCCTTCTCCTGGCCATGCACCCCCGCCCCAGGGGTCCTCAAGACATCGCTCAGCACCCCGCGCCCCAGACGCTGCTGGAGCCCCATCCTCACCCAGAACCTTCAGGGTCACGTCCCTCTTGCTCTCCCCAGCCAGGTTAGTTGCCGTGCAAGTGTAGACGCCCTCGTCCCTCAGGTCTGCCTTCTCGATCTGGAGGGAGGGGCAGAGGGGGGCACCCCGGGGCTGTGTTGGGGAGGCCTGGGCCAGGCCTGGAGGGCAGTGAGTGTGAGGACAGGGCACAGCCAGGGGCCAGACTGCCAGTGACCTTAAAGGCAGGAGGGGTGAGGTGAGGGCTGAGAGTGGCTCTGGGGGCTCAGTTACGAGCCAACACTCTGACCCAGGGATTCCTCTAACTGACATACTCCCTCTCCCACCCTGGCCTCACACTCTCATAGCTGAAGCTCTTGGGACCTGGAATGGGGACTAAGGACCCTTCCTCTCTTCAGGCCCAGCACATAGGACCCACTCAGTGTCCCTAGGCTGAGAGGGCTACCTAGCCTCCTCCAAGGCTGCCAGTGGTCCCTCCACTGTGCGTAGCTGGCCTGCCATTCCTGGAGCCCCTGTACATACCTGAAGGTGCCCCCCTGAGGCTGCCAGGGCCACCCCATCTTTCCACCAGCGGAGACTGGGAGGGGGCACCCCAGTCCCAGTGCACTGGAGGGACACAGGCTGCAGGAAAAGGGCTGTGATGTTCTCGTCCCCGACAACGATGGCCGATGGAAGCTCTGGGCAGGATGGGGGGGATCAGGTCAAGCAGAGGGGTTGCTGGGCACCTAGCAACCCTCCAGTGCCTGGGGTGAGAAGGTAGCCTGCAGGATAGAGCCAAGGGCTGGCCTCTAGCTTCCCCTCTCCCCCTTTAGACAGCTGGCTTAGGGGAAAGAGCACCTGACTACAAGCCAGCAGAGCAGGTCTTTCCCTTTAAAAAACTTCCATGCATCCACCCACTCACCCGCCCAACTACTCACCACCCTGTCCATCCATCCATCCACTCACCATCCACCCACATATCCATCCACCCATCCACCCATCCATCCACTCACTAACTTGTCCATCTATCCTTCCACTTACCCCCCATCCATCCATCCACTCACCATCCGCCTACATATCCATCCACCCATCCACCCATCCATCCACTCACTAACTTGTCCATCTATCCTTCCACTTACCCCCCATCCATCCATCCACTCACCATCCGCCTACATATCCATCCACCCATCCACCCATCCATCCACTCACTAACTTGTCCATCTATCCTTCCACTTACCCCCCATCCATCCATCCACTCACCATCCGCCTACATATCCATCCACCCATCCACCCATCCATCCACTCACTAACTTGTCCATCTATCCTTCCACTTACCCCCCATCCATCCATCCACTCACCATCCGCCTACATATCCATCCACCCATCCACCCATCCATCCACTCACTAACTTGTCCATCTATCCTTCCACTTACCCCCCATCCATCCATCCACTCACCATCCGCCTACATATCCATCCACCCATCCACCCATCCATCCACTCACTAACTTGTCCATCTATCCTTCCACTTACCCCCCATCCATCCATCCACTCACCATCCGCCTACATATCCATCCACCCATCCACCCATCCATCCACTCACTAACCTGTCCATCCATCCTTCCACTTACCCACTATCCATTCATCCACTCACCATGCACTTATGTATCCATCCACCTATCCACCCACCCATCCACTCACTAACCTGTCGATCTACCCTTCCACTTACCCACCATCCATTCATCCACCCACCATCCACCTACGTATCCATCCACCCATCCACCCATCCATCCACTCACTAACCTGTCTACCCATCCTTCCACCTGCCCACCACTCATTCATCCACTCACCATCCATCCGCTCACCATCCGTCAACATATCTATCCACCCATCCACTCACCAACCTGCCCATCCATCCACCTACCCACCCAACCACCATCCCTCCATCCTTCTACCCATCCACCACCCATTTATGTGTCCATTCATCCACCCATCCATTCACTGATCCCTCCACCCATCTCCCTGTTCATCCACCCATCCACCATCCATCCACCCACCACCCTTCCACCATGTATCCGTCTACCCATCTATTCACTCACCATCCATCCATGCATCCATCCATCCATCCATGCATCCATCCATCCATCTGTCCACCTACCTATCCATCCATCTATTCATCCCGTATTCATCCAAGCATGTACTTCTCCATGTATCCATCCACCCACACATCCATCTGCTCATCCATCCATGCATCCATATGTGTGCTGAGGGACAGAACTGTACAAGGCCCCTGGACACAGCAGACAAAGTGGTCACCACACTGGCCTCTCAGAGCCCACAGAGATAGACAGCAGGGATGGACAACCCAATAAGCAATCCCAATACAGTGGAGGCAGGCTATGGCCACAAGAGGCTGAGCAGTGCAGATTAGAAACCCAGTGGAATCAAGGAAGACTTCCGGCAGGAAGGAATTATTTCAAGACAGACCTGAAAAATAGAGAGGAGTTAGGCAGAGAAGAAAGACCGCTCCAGGCAGGGGGAACCGCAGACTCAGAGATGGCAGGGAGCGTACTCATGGATTTAAAGAGTCAGTGACAGTTAGCGTGGTCAGGATGGAGAGAGTGAGTGATGACAGGAGGGGAGCGAGGCCTTGGGCTGGACAGAATGATGGTGGGTGTGATAAGTGAGGAGCCAGAGCTGGGGCGCTGCTCACCGTGCACAGACACCTCCACCTCGGCTGCAGCCGTGCCTGCCTCGTTGGTGGCCTGGCAGGCAAAGAGACCCGCGTGGCCCAGCCCCACGTGGTCGATGTGCAGTGTGGCCCCCTGTGAGGCCACCCGCACCCCTGCCAGCTCCTCGGCTGGGCGGCCGTTCTGTAGCCACCTGAGGCAGGGAGTGGGAGGGTGGGTCAGCCTGAGGCCAGGGAAGGCCCATGGGTCCAGAAACGCACCCGCTCGCCTTACCCCGGCTTCGGGCCCCTTTCACACTCCCCACCCCTACCCCAGCTCTTGTGTTCTCTACCCCGGCCTCCACCACCCGTACACACCGAATGGAAGGCAGCGGGGAGCCTGAGGCCTGGCAGGAAAGTTCCAGGGGCGGGCCCACAACTGCAGTCACCTGGCCCACGCCATCAGCCACCAGGAGCTGTGGAGGCACTGTGGGGGTCCCCACCACCGTTGGGGGTTTGGAGCTGAGCAAACCCTGGCCTCAAGCCCCCCACATCCCCAGTGTTCCAGAGCAAGGCCCCAGCCTCACCTCTCCCTTCTTCTCCCCGTAAATGGTCCCTCCTACAGGAGGCCTCCCAGGACTACCACCAGGCTGGGTGAGGGGTCCTTGCCGGCCTTCCCAGAGATTTGGGTCCATTTGTCTAATGCCTGTCCGCCCCCCCCCCAAGACCCAGGGATTGGGAGTTGGGGCTCCTTATCTCCAACAGCACAGGGCCAGGACAGAGGTAAAGCTTGAGAAGTTCAGACCTGGGGGATGGCAGGTAAAGCACCCCCTGACACTCTCGCTTCCCCCCACCCCGCGGACCGGCCACAGCCCGCCTTGACTCAGGGGAGTTCTCTACAAGTGTCTGTCCCACGGACGGGTGCAGAGGGAGCTCCCATCCTGGGTGGGCCAGGCCAGGCTCTGGGCAGGAGCAGGGCCTCTTGACCCTGGGGCTCAGCTTTGGCCCCTCCTAGCCTGCTGACCCCTCACCCACTCCGGCCACAGTGTCCTCATCTGTGTCATGCAACACGGGGACACTGGTCACTCCCCAGGGGACAGGAGGGCCCACGGCCCTGGGTCCCGGTGGGCAGCCCGGGCTCACCCTGCACGTCCACCAAGTACTGCAGCACGGCCTCTCCCGCGGGGCTGCTGGCCACACAGCTGTACAGGCCCCCGGAGGCCTCCCCTGGGCTCTGCAGCCTCAGTGCACCGCTGCCCGTCTCCAGCCACGTCTCGTTGCTCTCTGCCACAGGTAGACCCTCGTAGTGCCAGGAGAGGGTGGGGGGTGGGTGGCCTCTGGCCACACACTCCAGTGTCATGGGTCTCCCGGCAACCGTCTTGACCACATAGGGTCCTCCACCAGTGCCCTCGATGGTGGGTGCCACTAGAGGAGGGTCAGGGGCTGCTCAGGGACCAGAGCTGACCTTGAGCCAGCAGCCCCTGCCCTCCGCCAATGGCCTGGGCAAGCCCTCGCTCACCTCCCTGACCCAGATCCCTGCTCAGATAGCACCTCCTTCAGGGAGCCCTCACAGACCCTGATGGGAGCACTCCCCTCCTTGGCCCTGGGGTGCCCACTTCCCAGGGCACTGTCGGCATCTCTCCATCCTCACTGCTCCCCTGCGAGCTCGGGAGGAGGACAACACCTAGGCTCTGTGTGTCTCTGACACTTGCACACAGTAAGTCTTGGGACCTGCTGCATTGCAATCAGGGGCTCCCCAGGGCCACAGCACCGCTCCCTCAAGCTCCACCCCTCATGGTCCAAGGAGGCCACTCCCTGCCCTGCTGGGCACTCACTGTAGACCTCCAGCCTGGTGGCCTTCTCTGTGGCCCCCGCAGCGTTGCTGGCTTTGCAGGTGTAGACGCCTGCATCTGAGGCTCGGGCCCTCTCCAGCTGCAGCTGCCGACCACCCCTGGTGTAGGTCATTTCAGCGCTGGAGGGGAGTGGGGCCCCGTCTTTGAACCAGGTGATGTCAGGGGTGGGCACTCCTCGGGCCTCACACAGGAACTGCACCGGGTGATCCTCCATGGCAACCACCTCGCCTGTCTCGTTGGAGCCCCAGATGGTGGGGGGTGCTGAGAAGAACATTGGGGGCCCTGAGCACAGACAACCCCAGGGGCAGCTGGCATCCTCCCCAGGAGCGACAAACGCACACACACATGCACACGCACACACGCACATGCACACACGCATACACACGTCCCAGGTTCTTACTACAGGGGCGGGAAGACATGGGGTTGAGACAGTGGGGGTCCCGCTGGCATGGGAGGCGGGCCGGTTGCCATGGGAGGTGGGGCAGGGGCTGCGGGCGTGGGCTCTGGACCCCGCTCCACTCTAACTCACTGTATGGCCCGACACTTGCCCTCTCTGGGCCTCAGTCTCCCCAGCTGTGAATGACAGGCTGGACTAGACCAGGGCTTTCCAGGCAGGTCACCCCCACTGGTGGTGCCCAAGATGATTCCAGGGGCTACATGCGCAGAGCACCGAGGAGCCGCATCGCTAAGAGAGGCTGCGGCCTTCCCGGCCCCTCCCCTCCTGGTCAAGAGAGACCACATGACCAAAGGCGAGCAGGTGCTGGCCGCATGCCTCCAGCCTTGCCCACGCCGCAAGGATTGACAGCAGTCCTCGCCCTGTTTGCCCTCTGCCAGCCTCGTCCCCTGACTGACACCTAGCTGGTCTCCACTTGCAGAGGAGGTTAACTATCCTAAACAAATCTGCGTCGGTGTAAAGAGAAGTGACGGAGTTCAGGAGAACATTCAGAAGATGCTCATTCTGAGTGGTAGAATTTGGGACCAGACAGCTGCACACCAGCAACACAACCGGGCCCATGTGGGAGAGCCCAGGTCCGCGTCCCAGCCCCCTGCATCTGCCAGGCACACCTGCGTGCCCACGACCCCGGGGCTGAGGCTGGGGGCGGGTCACAGCCTTTAGACTCTGTTGGGGGAGCTGCCTCTCTGTCTCTCTCTCTTGGGAGAAGTAAAGTTGAAGAGAGAACAGGAAAACAAAAGCATACTTTGTGAAGCTGCGATGGGAACAGCAAAATTTGGGAAATGCCAGTCCAGATGCCTGCTAGCCTCCCCTCCCCTCCAGCTTTCTTGGACTCGGGCTCGCCCCTCCAGGGTCCCCCTTTCTGCCCTCATCCTCAATCTGAGGCAGCAGCGGCCAGGTGGGCAGCTTCATGGGCTTTGTGTGGGGTCCCAGAGGGGTCGGGACTCACAGTGGATTCTGAGCTCGAAGTCCTTGGCCTCCTGGCCAGCTGGGCTGAAGGCCACACACTGGTACCGTCCCTCGTCCCCCAAGTGACTGCTGGAGATTCGGAGGACCTGGCCGTCCTCTTGGAGCTGCAGATGAGGGTCTTCCGCAAGGAGAGGCCTGGAGAGAAGGTCGGGGCAGACTGTCAGTAAGGCCATGTGCTGGTGGGGACAGGCAGTGTGGGGCCCACAGCCTCCCCTGAGGCCAGGTGGTTCATGACCACCTAGAGGAAGCTCATCAGCCGAGGGACATGGACACCGTGTGGCCTCCCTTACAATGCAATGTTACTCAGCCATGGAAAGGAATGAGATTTGGAGCTTGCCGCGACGCAACAGAGTGAGGTGGAAGGAGCCAACATGGCCGGGAGCGCGTGGCTCGGGTTCCAGGAAACGTCGCAGGGCACACCCGCAGACGGGAAGCAGACTGGTGGTTGCCGGGCTGAGGGAGGGGAATGGGGATCGCTGCTTCTGGGTGTGGGGTTTCTTTTGGGGATGATGGAATGTTCTGGAACTGGATAGCAGTGATGGCTGCGCCATGCCGAGAATGTACTAAATGCCACTACATCGAGTGCTTCAAAATGGCTCGTCATATGTGTATAAATTTAACTTTAAAAGTGAGTTGAAAAAAGAAGTCAGAGAGACAAGAAGATGCTGCCTTGGGGGAGGGGTCTCCCTGGGTGACCTGCCCCTGGGGAGGAGCCAGCCTCAGCTGTGCCCGGGCAGCTTATGCCATGCCCTCTGGCTCCCTCGAAGGGTTCGTCCTCCCCCGAGTCCCCACCCCACCCCCGGTTCAGGCAACACCGCCGCACCCTCCACCAGGGAGGCCACTCACTGCCCATCCTTGGTCCATTCCACCTGGGGCGTAGGGACCCCCGTGGTCCGGCACTCCAGCTCCACATCCGTACCCGCCAGGCCCAGCACCCCCTGGGCGGCCTCAGCTCCGAGCACGGAAGGAGGGACTGGGGGGGCGGGGGGAAGACGAGGGAGGTAGGAGGCTCAAACCCTGCAAACCTGGCCGACCGCAGGGCCTTGGCTGCTGTGTGGCCCCCACCTGCCACACCCTACCCTTCTCCCTTCTGCCCAGCTTTCCTGGGAAGCTCCCCCAAGCCCTGCAGGTGGGTCCCTGCCCTGCTTCTCAGTCATGCCTGCTCTGCCGCACTGTAACAGTAACCACCAGCTGATCATGTGACCCTGAGCTCCTCCCACTCCAAAGGACCAGGCTATGGGCGTTAGACGCTCCCATCTCTGCCGGCAACCCTGGGGTCACAGGGCTCAGGCCTCACTCACCAAGCACAAGGAGCTCGAAGTCCTTCTGGGCCATCCCGGCCTGGTTCTCTGCCCGGCAGGAGTAGAGGCCGGAATCTCCCTCCTGGAGCTGGGGGAAGTGGAGGGACCGGGCCCCAAACAGGAGGCTGTGTCGGTCTGCCTCAGGGATCTGGGCAGAAGAGGCCGGAAGGATCTGGTGAGTAGGGGTCTGACTGCCCCTCAGCATCAGCAGTGAGAAAACTGAGGCTCAAGGAACTGGTCAGCAGCCAGAACGTTGGGCTTCCTACGCCCAGAGCAGTGCTGTGCCCCCTCCACCATGCAGCCCTCAGGCTCTATCAGAGGGCGACGGTCTACACTGCTTTGACGGCCTGCAGTGCATTACCCTGCCACGCCGTGACACACACAGGAACACCCATCCAGAGGCCTGTCCCCAACCCGAATCACACCCGCAGCCCATCACCCCGGGGCAGGACCCACCAGCTGTCCGTCCTTGAACCACGTGAGCTCGGGGGCAGGAAAGCCGTTCGCATCACACCCCAGCGTCAGGGACTGCCCGGCCACGCCTGACACGTTGGCTCTGTGCCCATCCTCTCGGATGCTGGGGGGCACTTGGGGAGCAAGAAGCAGAAAAGCTGCCCCACCCAGGCCCCGTGTCCCCTCGCCTGTCACTGAAGTGCCAGGAGGTCCACCTGCGCCCTGCCCAGCCCCGGTCCGGCCCTGAGCTACCCATGCTCATTCAGAGGTGGCCCCACCCACTGGGCCATTCATGGGGTCTCCCCTCCACATGGAGGACCTCCCTTACACTCCCACCAGGCGCCTCTGCACAAGTGGGGTGCCCAGGGCAACTCGCCGCCCCCCAACACCCTCTCTGCACTAGGGACACGGCCCTGCAGCTGCCCCTGCAGGGAGTTCTTGGGCCCTGGGAACCAGCGCCACCATGCCTGGGCACCCTGGCATCACCAGACCATGGCCCCACTATAGGGCTCCAGCCAGACGGGGCTGAGGCGGGTAAGCCGTCCTGGGTCCCTCCCGCTTTCGCTCCAGCCCTGGCCCCGACCCCAGTCCTCGCTCACCGTAGACTACCAGCTTGGCTCTCCTGGACACAGAGCCTGCTTCGTTGGAGGCCTGGCACTCATAGTCACCGCTGTCCGCCGGCGAGACGGAGGCCAGGAGCAGAGAGCCCTCGCCCAGCACCGACACACCTGGTCGGCCACGCAGGGGCTCCAAGGATGGGCCTTTCCGCCACGTGATCTGGGGCTTGGGCGTTCCTGGCAGGGTGCAGGAGTCCTCAGGACTGAACACCCTGACTCCCCCCTCCCCACCCAGCCCTGCACACCCACACCATCTCTCCGGGGTCGCCAGGGGCCCACAGGCACGGGCCGCATGCCTGTTTTCCATGCACAGGGAGAGGGCACGTCTTCAGGGAACAGGACACTCACCACTCTAAGTGCGGGCCCACCCGGCCCCGGGCTTAGAGCTGCACCCCCACCAGCACCCCAACCCCGACTCTGCCCTGTGTTTCCGCTGCGCCCACCCAACCTTCTCACATGTCATGGGATGCACATCAGCTGAGGTTGACACCCGCCCCCCGGGACCTTTCTCTGCTCCCTGCCAGGCAGGAGCTGCAGGGGCCCATGCTTGGCCTGGGGAAGCGCCAGCTCCACGCCTAACCCCGCCTGCACCTGCTGCCACGCATGGGCAGCGCTTTGCTGAGCACCCACGAGCACCCCAACCCCGCTGCCTCTGGACACTGCTCGTGTTGGCTGGCCCACCATCTGCCTGTGTCGACTGCCACACACAACCGGGTCTGACGCACGTGGGTGCACGTAAGCTGCGGTCCGCTGGGCCGCCCGAGGGGGCCTTGGCAGGCATTGAATGAGTGACCCAGAAGCCCACGCGGCACACACCATGAGGTGGCGCTCAGGGCCCGGTAGCCCTCACTTGCAGGCTCCCTCGGCCCCCTGCCTTCCCGGCTAAACCAAAGAAGGCTGTGGGGGCCAGTGTCCGTACCCCTCCATGACAGCACACCGGGAGCTGCTAACTGATGCTAACTGCCCAAGTCTGCCGTCTCCCCCGGGGGGCACGGGACAGACGCACACACTCCTCAGCCGGAAGGGGAAGGGGCTGTGGGAGGGCTGAGTAGGGGAGGGGCGAGGATGTGGCCAGGAAGGCGTCCTACTTATCATCTCTTTCTCTTGCTGCAGGCGAGAGGGACAGGGAGACAGGGACCGCGGCCATGTCCCCGAGCTCTGGCATCCCTGGGCAGGGGAATTACTGTCCCTGCTGCTTTCTCCTGGGATCTAGGAAGCAGGTGGAGTGTCCCATAGCCAGGGGCCCGCTGTCCCCACTGTGGGGGACACACACACCATATACACACACACACTCACATACCACACACTTCACACAGCACATACTGTGTACAACACACCGCACACCCTCCCCTACTCCCACACCCCCCACACACCATACCCTACATACATACACTGTATACACCATGCATACCCACACCCCACACACCATATACACACTCTGTATACACACACACACACACCCTACACACACCCCACACACACCCCACACACCATATACACACACTGTATACTCCACGCACACCCACACCCCATACACCATATACACACACTGTATACTCCATGCACACCCACACC